CCTCTCCAGCTCTCTCAGAGCCCCTTCAGGCACTGAAGGCCACAGGGAGGTCACTTCAGAGCAATCCTCAGGCTGAACAACCCCAATTCTCCCAGCCTTTCTTCAGAGCAGAGCTGCTCCATCCCTCTGATCATCCTGGTGCCCCTGTGCTCCAGGTGACCCTGCTGGAGCAGAGGGGTTGGCCCAGATGATCTCCAGAGGTCCTTCCAAGCCCAGCCATCCTGGGATTCTAGGATTTATGATACTGTGATGAATCTCACGCAGTTTTGCTCCAGGAGCTCACTGTTATTCAATTTAATACATGAACCTGATTCAGTGAAGCACCAACCTAGGAAAATGGAAAGATGCTCAAGAATTAAATTAGCTTGATCACAAAGAGAGGGAAGTGACATTTTGGCTAATGAATGAAGATTACAATTAAATTGGGAATATCTAACGTCTGAACTCTTCCCTGCATCAGTGAATTGAAACATGCATCTGAACAAACACAAACAAATTTCACTGTGTCTTTGCTATTAAGCTGATCAACCCCACTTGGTGACTGTGATGGCCACTGGATCAGCAAAAGGCTTCTGAGAGGGAAACAGCAGACACAGCTCGTGCTAACTCATAGCTCAGTGCAAAGCTCCTTCCTCCCTGCTCAGAGGACACTGCAGGCCTCAGAGAAACCAGATCCGTGGATATCTCAGCATGGGAAAGCAGAGATCACAGAGTGGAGACACCTCTGGCATCCCCCAGTCCCCTGTGCTCAAAGCAGGGTCAGTGGCCCAGGCCCAGGTGCCTTTTGGATGTGTCCAAGGATAAACACACCACAAACTCTATGGGCAATTCCATCCAGTGTTTGGCCATTCACATGGAAAAAAAGATTGTATTTACATTTAAATGGAATTTCCTGAATTTCACGTTGTCCCCATCACTCCTTGTTCTGTCACCTGACACCACTGGGAGAGTCTGATTCTTACTCCCCACCATGCAGGGTGATGGAATCATCTCTTCTCAAGGCTGAGCAATCCTCAGCACTGCACAGAGCCTCAGCAGAGCATCTCCAGCTGTGGGCCAGCTGTTCCTGCCCCCAGAGCCACAGGAGCTGGCAGTGAGCTCTGCCTGCACTCCCCAATGGAATGCTATCCCTTGCTCAAAGCCCTCCACACCTCTGAAGTGTTGCTAAGGAGACCCAGAGGCTGAACCTGCTATTAAATGGGTTTTTGTGGAGCTCACAGATCAAGCTCAGCTCTTCAGTGCCAATGACAGGAACAGAGCAGCTGCTGGGCTAGAGCTGGGCTGTTCCTGCAGCCCTCAGGTAACAAAGCATCCTTTAAAGAGCTGCACTTTTGCCTCAGGGGCTCCTATTTTGCAGTTGGTCCATCTCTATTTGTAGAGAATAATTTCAGCTGTGGGCTTCACTCTCTTCTCATCTGTCACCATCCTATCCAAGAGCTCAGCAAAGCTGGAGCCACCAGACAGGAACAATTGTGGTGCTAAAGGGGCAGGGAGCTGCTGGCCAGGCTCTGCCAGGGTCAGGGGGATTATCTGCCCAAGGAAATGAAGGATTGGGTGGCTTTCTCCTGTTCTCTCTCATAAAATGAGTCATTTATGAAAATCTCCATTTTCAGAGTGAGCTGAGAAATTTTTCCCAGGACAGACACGGGTGCTTTTGTTTTTATTTTGCCTCCTGTGTTGTCAGAAAGCAACAGGACTGAGAGGAAGTGGCCCTAGGACAGCCCTTCCCAGCACAGCAGTGATCCTGCTCCTGCAATCCAAGAAAAACCTCCATAACTTTAATTCCCACAAACCTAATTCCCTGGCTCGTTAGTGCTCCAAGTACATGACTCTCATTATGTCTGGTCCCAGTAAAGGACCAGCAATGAGCCACATGTGTAAATGCCACCCAGATGAAAATGAAAATGAAGAAGAAAGTGAAAATGAAGAAAAAAACACCTCAAGCGTTTGTCCTGCAGAACGTGGGTGTGAGAAGCTCTGCTCCACATGAGCTGAGCTGTTGGTCAGAACATGGCAAAACACAGAAGCAAAGCTAACAGCTGCTTTTTGTCTGCTCAAAAACAAATGGGAAGCCTGGGTATAACTGTGCTGTGGGTGGGATACAGCCTTCAACTAATGAGTTTAATTAATCTGGGTACAATTACCCTGAGATCTGCTATGTCCTCTCTTTTATTATTAATGCAATGATCCACAAATCCTGTGACACTTTTGTAAATTGAGTCATCTGTGTCATTCCAGACCTTGTACAAACACTCCTGGAACTGTTTGTGAGGCATTTGTCACCAAAACCTCGCAGGAAAGACCTTGCCAGATAAACCATATGGCAAATATTGCTCTGCTCCACCCCTGACTGTGGTGGCAGAATCCTCTGTGGGGCCCCCCCTCACTGACTCCCACTGGGATGAGTCTGGGACTGATTTCGCCAAAGGTCAGATTTTCAGGCTTCAGAAGGTTCTTTGTCCAACCTTCTAAACGCCAGTTTGTGCAGAGGATGCTCTGGTGCCATGGGAGCCTGCTGACCCTCAAGGAGCTTTGTGAGACCAGGAGTTCTTGCCTGTTGATGCAGGGACACACCTTTAGCCCCTCAGGCTGCTCTCCCTCTTCCTCAGGTTCCATGGAGCTCCAGCCCCTGGGAGGAGCTGGGAACACAAGGTGAGATGCAGACAGGCTCTGGAGCTGGCCAGCCTGGCCAGCCGAGGGGACAGTGCAGTCCCTTTGCTTTGCTGTCACTCCACCAAATGCTGGAGCTGCAGCTGCCAGCCCCAAGCCCTGCTGGATGTGCCCAGAGAGCCGAGTGTCACCAAGGCACCTCCAGCTCCTCGTGGGGCCTCAGTGCTGATGGCTCAGGAGTCGGATTAGAAACGAAAGCAGCAAGAGCTCTGAGAGCTCTTGAGCCACTCCTGCCTACATCCCATTACTCTAAAGTCAGCACAGCACAGACCTGCAGTATTTGCATGTGTGAAGTGTTCCCAGCTCTGTGACCATGCCACAGGCAAGCCCAGATGTCTGAGTGACCCTGGCCCAGCGCTGGCACCTGCAATCCTGTCCCCAGGGCCACTGCTGAGCCTGCCCCAGCAGCAGAGCACGCTGACCTAACCCAGCTGCATCGAGCTGCTCTGGAAGCTTAGGGGAGCCTGCTCTGGGCCACCAGAGACAGTCACACCTGGAGAACAGCCAGCCCAACCATCAGCACTGCTCTCCTCTAGAAATCTGATTTCTGCAGCTCTTCTTATTTAATCACAGAATCATAAAATCGTGGAATGGTTTGGATTGGAAATATCATCCAGTGCCACCCCTGCCATGGCAGGGACACCTCCCACTGTCCCAGGCTGCTCCAAGCCCCAATGTCCAGCCTGGCCTTGGGCACTGCCAGGGATCCAGGGGCAGCCACAGCTGCTCTGGGCACCCTGTGCCAGGGCCTCCCTATCCTCACAGGGAAGGATTTCTTCTGATTTAGCCTTCAGTGTCTGTCTAACCTCTTACTGATTGCTCTGACCACCAGAGAAGATGGGAATGGATGTAATAAAAACCCTTCAGGCCCCCAATGCTTGTCTGTTAGCACTGAAACAGCACATGGAGACTGGCACTGCTGACAGATCCTTTACAGCAGCACACCAGCATTGCAGAAAATAACTTTTCACTCTGCATTACTGAATGGCTCAAAGAGCTGCATCTTTCCTTCTGCACCAGCTAAAAAGCAGATGCCAGGATTGCAGCCCTCTGTATTTTAAAAGCTCTAGAGAAGCTTAGCATCGTTTACCTCAGAGGGAGCTTGCAAAAAAAAAGCAAAAATTAAGACCAAAATATCAGGGATATTTAATTTCAATTCATAAACAGGCCTGCGGGCTCAGATCAGGACTCAGAGATTTGTCTTAATCTAATTTTATGCAAACAATTCAGTGATAATGAAAGTTTACATAATCCACATCAAGGAAATCAGAAGGTTTCCCAAAACCTGTAATGAGAGCTGACACCACCGAGTGCACATCAGCAAACCCAAACCCTCACTAAATGAGTGGCTCCAGAGAGCATTGACAGAGCTCCCTCCACACCCCAGCAGGCTCTGGGGCATTTTGTGGGGTTGTGATGGGAGCTGGCAGCATTTCCCTGGTTTGGGATGCCCAGGGGAGCCAGCCCCACTGCAGAGTTCCCTCCCCAAGTGGCCCCTCCGTGCTCTTTGAGGTGCAGGAAGATTTTTGGGCAGCAGGCAGAGAACGAGGCCAGGGGCTCTCAGAACAAGCTCTTCATTCCTGCAGCAAATAAAGGCACAGAGAAGTGCAGAACAACCTCCCCTTGGGGGTTCCTGCATGTGCACACCCCACAAACAGGTCCAGGAGGAGAAACCCAAACTGACAGAGCCGGATCAGAGGGAGAGGTGGCTGCTTGGGACACTGTGACACAGGTGACACTGTGTCCATGTCCCCTGGCAGGCATGGCAGCCTGTCCTCATGGAGGTGATGCCTTCAGTTTGAGCTTTCCTATTTCCAGACTCTGCACTGCATTGGTGTGTGA